AACCAAATACTCAATCGTTTTCAGCTAAGTTTTTCTATATGATGCAATCTCATTTACGATCTTATATGATACTAGTGGCCCGCCCTCGCTTCGCTTCGGTGTAGAGCTGTATTGTAAACTATAGTTTTTGTTCTCAGGCTTGTGCTATAAAGAATGACTTTATTTATATAATTACACGTGTTATTGTGAGTCAACCTTAAAAGATAGACACATGCTGTTGCGGGATATTTTTTAGACAATTTTATGTAGAATATTTCCGTCATACATGATTTCTATGTAACTTTAACCATTAAGACTGCACCTGCGACGGAAGCTTAAAAAATGGAGTAACTTCTCCCGTTTTCCCAACATTTCCCTTCACTACTCTGCTGCTATTGATTGTAGCGTGATGAAAAGTATACTATAACCTGCCCAGGAGTATGAAGAATAATTGTATCAAGTTTCGTTAAAATTCGTTGAGTAGTTTTTGTTTCTATAAGGAACATACACACAGACAGACAGACAGACAAAAATTTTACTGATTGCATTTTTGGCATCAGTATCGATCACTAATCACCCCCTGATAGTTATTTTAAAAATATATTTCATGTACAGAATTGACATCTCTACAGATTTATTATAAGTATAGATGATTATTGACAAATGTCGAATAAATATTATCGGCTGCTTCATCATCAATAGACATTGCAACATTTTGATATTTTTGGCGTGACACATATCTAACTAATTTTTAAAGTGGCAGCTATCGAACTCAGTACCTTTAGTACGAGTTTGAGCTCACGAAAACTATCATAGTTTTCGTAATTGTAAATTATGTTTCTATGTCCGTTCTGGTGAAAAGTAACCAAATATACTCAAAATTTAAGAAGACGCAAATGATTTAATGATAGAATTTAAACACTGTTTATTTGTAATGAAACGAAAACAATAAAATCAGTACCCTTAGTACGAGTGCGAGCTCAAGAAAACTATCATAGTTTTCGTAATTGTAAAACTCGTACTAAGGGTACAGAAGTGTGATATTATTTTACAGAATCGACCTACATAGTAATTAAATAGAAAAGTGAATATAGCTTAATTACAAATACTACACGATGCCAAACCGTTGCCTAAAACAGGGAACCCTAAACGGGGCGTTGCCTCAGGTAATTGTGTTAAGGAGACAATTAAGATTCATTATCCTTGTCTGTTTAGAACTTCGATTAACAATTCTATAGATAACGGGTCAGCGAGTAAAATTCGTCTCGGTAAATATAGCCTCACTTGAGGCGTGAGATCTTATTTTAAATTACTTCGGTTAATACAAAAAGAAGTAGTTCGTTGGCCAATGACTGGTAAAAATATTTTTTATTTTTTGGGTCATAGGGTTGATTTCACATTTTCCTTTTTTCACCTTTATCGTTCTTTTCCAAGTATCAGATGTAATTTGTTTAAATTATCTTGTTCGTTTTATAAGATAAAAGGTCTTAAGTGCGAATTTCTGTTATTTGTAACCTTATTCCTTTGTGAGATAGTTGTTATTAGGTTCATCTTAAACAGTTTTAAAACATTTGCCTTTGTGCATTAGAAATCGAATGTAACTGCATAAATCTAAAGAAAATATAACTAGAAAAAATTCCACGCGGACCAGGCAGCAGACGGGAGAACTTCGGAGATTTTGTGTGGTTTCGTTTGAAATTCGTGATTTCTCGAAAACCGGAAGTGCTACGTTACTCAAATCCGGTTTGTAGTCTTATCAGACTATTCTTAACTTATAACTTAAATATTCTCTTTATCTATCTCTTACGGTTTGGCCGCTGAAACAGCACCACAGACAGGCGGACGGACGGACGGACTTGTCTAATAGATAAGAGATGATTTGTTCTCTGTAAATTGTTTGCTGGAAAACTATTGTGATAGTCTCACGTAAGTGAATTTAATGTTAATTCTTGTGAGGTTAATAAAATCTCTTAAACCATTTAAGAAAGATACCCAGATAGGGTCTTTCAAAAGATTTTCTCTTTAATAGAAAAGTTCACAAAACGCAGCGTTGTCATACTGCCGTCCTCAAACTAAAGTGCGTCTAAGTGACATGTGGTCGATTTTTCAGTCTTAAATTGCATCTTATACAGTTTTTGATTCTCTATCGATCTGGCTTAAACAAGTATTCGCAGCTTTTACAGTTTAAGTCCTAAAATCCGTTATGTGCTGAATAGTTGGTTACAAAATAGCAATAATTTAAAGTTTACTTGCCGTTTTTTGGCCATATCTCAAAAGTTGGTTTTGTCATTTAGCCGCGTTTTAGCTTGAGGACGGCAGCATATGGTGACCCCAGAAAATTGTGTTGTGAACTTCATTTTAATTTAAAATATTAATCTTGAATATTTAAATCATTAAGCATATATAATAATACTGAAAATATAAGGAGGAGCTAAAAATACTCTAAACTCTTGTAATTAGAAAGGCATATAATCGATTTCCAATTTGAGAGTTGTATTTGTTTAGAAACTGATTGCAGATCTTACTTGACTGGTTTTTTGATATTATTTGAAATAGGTATAGCATATGCTTTAAGTGTCGCCGCACACGGGCCACACGCCACAGCCACAAACGCCGCCACGAGAAGCTAGAAGCGGCTACTAAAGTGGCTGAAGCGCGCGACAGCGGCCGACTAAGGTAAGGGAGAGAGGGGTGGGGAATCGCGCGAGTGACGTGTGGCGGCGTTTTGTATCGGCGCATTAAGTGGCCGGTGCGGGCCACAAGAAGCGAGCAACGATTTGTGGCGTGTGGCGGCCACCGGCGTACCGTGTGTGGCGAGTCCATATAAAATGTATGAAAACTACAAGAAATATGGCGGTGGCGGCGTTTTGTGTTTGTGGTCGGTGGCCCGTATGCGGCGACACTAACAAGTGAAATAAACATTAATGTTAATTTCCGTTGAAAACTCCTGACTTGATTTTTACATCTTAACTGAGCATCGTGCAGTTATATTTTTGATTAAAATCTTCATCTGTTCGCCTCTTTATTAAGATCAAATATTTTGCAACAGTACCTACTATTGTGGTGTGTGCTTCCATCTTAAAGATCACCATAAAATGGATTGCTCCCTATCTTCACGCAGTGTTCTGACTGTGTCCCTACGGTAGGAAGAGAGAACAACACGTGCGAGAACTTTTGAATGCTTCAGATTGAACTTTCAATTATTCAAAATAATTTTCTTTGCCGTTGTACCTACTTACGAGTATAACAAGTATTTTAAACGTTTCACAATATTTTAACAAGCGTCCAGACATTTGTTGACCGTCCGAAAAAAATGATTAGACTTCGCCAATCATGATGTACGGTGCGGCGGCGGATTGGCATGTTGCCAAACTTTTATTTATTCAAACTAAGTGTTTGGGACTATTCGCGCCGGCTCGGACGCGGGTATTCATAAAATTCATACAACACCGACTCCTGTGTTGGGAATTGTGTGTATGTGCAGTGGAGGTTACACGGCATGGGATGGGAATGCTTTTACTTCAATGAGGGTTTTTTGGAATGACAGGCAGCAGGTGGCAGTACTGAGACGAAAGGTCTAATCATCCGTCAAATCGCATACGATCTCATAGTCTATGAATCTGGTCTATGGAGTTGGCGCTAAAAACTTCATACAAAAGACCTCACGACACAGTGGCGCCAACTGGTGACGTAAATTTTCATAAACACCCTCATTGAAACGCACAGTGCGGGGTGTCAATATGATGTGCACTGCAAGCTCCAAACATGCCGTTTGAATCATGCTCGGTGTTCGAGCCAAAATGACTCTTAAATCCGAGAGTTTAGGTGCGAAAGAGTTAAAATGTAGCTCAAAACATATTTACTAGCGTGATGCAAAGAACTACAGCGCCATCTATTTTGATACATATGAACTTTATGAACATACGAATTTTTAAATGCACAAATGGCGTATACACTTGGTGTGTTAAAACTTGTTTGTCATTTTTGGGCAGGTATATCAAACCGATGGTACGATCTCCCTATTCCATCCATAGGGAAGGCCTGTGCTGCAGCAAAGGGGAGATTAATACGCTGATGATGATGATATCAAACTATTGCAGTCTGAACAACGTCTTCAAGACGGTGTTAAAGATGCCCTGTTCACGATAATTGTCATTATGTGCGTGTTCGAAGATGAAATAGAGTAGAGTCACTGGCGAAATTGCGTTTATAATTCGTTCGTTGCCGAAATTTCGTTTCGGAGAAAGAGAGTAGAGCTCCAGGATAGCTGATCCAGCGAACTTCGTACCGACATAAAAATAGGGTTTAGTAGTAGAAGGGTGAAAAATTTGCGTTGTGTATATTTATGATGTGAAATCATAAAATAATGTACTTAAACAAAACGTTTTGTCCAAAAAATTAAAAAAAAAAAATTTTTTTTTGGGATGGATCACCCTTATTACTTAGGGACATGTTCGACAAAATAGTTTACGTCTTAATCTCAGACTTGCTGAATATAAACGCAAAATATCATAAGAATCGCTCAAGCCGGTTTTGTCACAAACGTTGAGACCACGAGAATTTTATTTATGTCGGATGGGCGAGCGGGATATAGCGGTTGGCCACGTGGTTCATCTTGATCCGCCATCTTGGTTATTCAATGATATTTCCCGAAAATAAAACTGTAGTCTAGTGACCAAGCTAACGTTTAATTTGAATCTTCTAATCATTTTACAAAATCAGTTATGATTGCCAAGGTACAAACGGATTGCTTTGTGAAGCGCGGAGAGTTCTGTGCTAACGTCTGTTCACTATCGCAGCTCACGTCTGAATGCCGAATGCCGAATGCCCCTTCCAATGACGCATAGCCCCTTAAATACTACCCTTAGCATAGACCACTCCCAAGTGATGACAGCAGTCATTGTCATAACTTGACGTTTCACAAAGCAATGGTACAATGACTGATGACATTTGTTGTAGGTTTTACGTTTCGCAGGAGCGAGCGAGACGCCATCCGCCGACATATATTAGAAATTACTTACGTTGATGACAACGCGCTCGCAGAAGTCGTGGTCGTGTTGGATTGGCTCGAAGGTGACGACACCGCCCTGGGGTGGCCTTCCCGGCTCCTCTTCCTGGCTGCACAGCTTCGGCAGTGACCTGCGAAGAGAACACAAGCCTTTATACTGTGATTTAGGCTTAGCTTGATCTGCAAGTGTGGGCAGTTTGTATCTCTTATCTATTAGACAAGTCCGTCTGTCCATGGTGCTGTTTCAGCGGCCAAACCGTAAGAGATAGATAAAGAGAATAAGTATTTAAGTTATAAGTTAAGAATAGTCTGATAAGACTACAAACCGGATTTGAGTAACGTAGCACTTCCGGTTTTCGAGAAATCACGAATTTCAAACGAAACCACACAAAATCTCCGAAGTTCTCAATTAATAAAATATATATATATATATTTTTTAAATCAGGTTTTGGTGAACATTTAGTTCACTGGTTTGCTAGTAATATATATTGTATTCGCGTTCGGTTATTTCATTGTTCAATAACCGAACCCTCAATGAAAGACTTTCGAAGGTAGCTCGACAAAATTAAATAAAAAATCATTCTGACGAAGCAGCCTGAAAAGGCTGCGAAACGTCAATAAATAAATAAAGTTTCGTGCATTAACCCGTGAAAACTAGTTTTATTTAATAAGTGATGTGCGTAAAAACCTAAGAAACAAATAAGGTTTACGATGTCACATCGTAAACCTTAACCCTTTGTCTTGTTTCTGTTCATCTGTCTGTTATACTTTCAATTCTAAACTTAACGAGATTGATGAATTTTGTATGAAGATAAAAGATATGTCAGTTAACCTTTCTTTTTGAATTTATTCGAATAGTTAGCGAGTGCGAAACTCAGTGTCAAATTCTGAATGGAAACGAACTGCAGCGCCACAATAGATGTTACGACAATGACATTTCGTACTCTCAAACTATTCGAATTCGATATAAGTTCGTGCTTAGGGTACTGTCCTGATTCTAATTAATTCATATGATTAAATAAAACTAGTTTTAACGTAACTTCGTCGGAATAATGATTTTTTATTTAATTTTGTCGAGCTACCTTCGAAAGACTTTTATTGAGCGTTCGGTTATTTCATTGTTAGATAACCGAACGCTCAATAAAAGTCTTTCGAAGGTAGCTCGACAAAATTAAATAAAAAATCATTATTCCGACGAAGCAGACCTGAAAAGGTTGCAAAACGTAAATAAATAAATAAAGTTTCGTGCATTAACCCGTTAAAACTAGTTTTATTTAATGAGTGATGTGCGTGAAAACCTAAGAAACAAATAATTCATATAACTAAGTAATTCAAGATTTAAATATTTCGATTTCATTGATTTGTTAATAGTAGATTAGCTTTTGTGAAGTTAGCCTCTGTATTTTAATATAAACGGACGGATGACCTAAGAGAGAGAGAGAGAGAGAGAGAGAGAGAGAGAGAGAGAGAGAGAGAGAGAGAGAGAGAGAGAGAGAGAGAGAGAGAGAGAGAGAGAGAGAGAGAGAGAGAAAAAAGAGAGGGGAGAGGGAGGGGGAGAGAGAGAGGGAGGGGGAGAGAGAGAGGGAGAATCATTTTATTGACCAATAAAACACAAACTTATAAATTATAAACTGCTAAAATAAAAAACCTATATATAAAAAGTAAGCATTACACACATTTATAAACCTAACAGCCATCATATTGGTCAATCAGGACCCTGGCTCAGCATAATGCTGCCGTGACATGTAACTAAACGTGTCACGACATCGCTAGTAATCTGACAGGGCCTGTATGATTCACGATTTTTCGGTATACAAGTTAAGATAAGTTCTTGATTTAATGAACACAAAAATTCTGGTGCAAAGTTCTACTCGCATACTCGTTAAGCTTCAAAAGCTACCATTTACCTTCCCTCTTTTGTTCACGCTCTCAAGCTTGCCTTCTCATATCCCACGCTTTCATTATATGTACGCTCATTCATCGTTCAAACACTATCTCTAGTCAAAATGCTTTTTTCCTTGCTCACACAAAACTGACTGCGCTGAGCGGAGCTGGAAAACGAACCAATTTTAGATAATGCATTTGTTCTTCATTTGTCTTTCCGTATATATATGTTATTATATATAACTAGCGGCCCACCCTCGCTTCGCTTCGGTGTAGAGCTGAAGTGTAGACTACAGTTTTTGTTCTCAGGCTTGTATTATACACAATGACATTCATGTATGATTCTTCTTATACCTGCATGCAAAGTCTCAGCACGATCGGTTTAAAATTGACAAAGTTTCATACAAACTTCAATTCCCTATTTTATCTCCTTGGGGGTAGAATTGATCAAAATCCTTTAGCGGATGCCTACATCATAACATCTACCTGCATGCCAAATTTCAGCCCGATCCGTCCAGTGGTTTGGGCTGTGCGTTGATAGATCACTATGTTAGTCAGTCACCTTTGAGTTTTATATACAGGGTGTAAAAAAAACCTATGACAAAGACTTAAACTACGTATTCTGTACACCCAAACAAGTCATATTACAAAATATTATACGTGGGAAAAATTTGTATTTTAATTTAAAAAAAATCATTTTTTTTCCAGTACGCAATGTATAGCGCGGCAATTATTGTGGCGCTACGCAAAGAATGTGCCTTTGTGTATGTGTAAATGCGTCGATAAAAAAGTTTCTAAATAACGTTTTGAAAATATTAATGTATAAATCTTGAAAAAAATATTTTGGCTTTAGACCTTCAATATCTCCATAACCATAAATTTCCCAAGTATGGTCCAGAAGAAAAAAATGATGGTCATGATGTGGAAAATACGTGGCCTTCGACTTCGTTATTGGTTTTTTTACACTCTGTATATAGACTAGCTGACTCAGCGAACTTCGTACCACCATAAAAATAGGGGCAGGTGGAAGAAGAGAAAATTTAGGGTTGTATGTATTTTTTAATACCACGACATAATAAAAAATAAATATAGTCCAAAAAATTTTTAGGAGTGTATAATGTAGTGTTCTATCAATTTGACCTGGGATAACATTCCTCCTAACTTATATGAGAGCACTACGTTACAATACCCAATAGTTTGAATTTGCCGCGAAGGCGCATTGTAGGTTTCAGAACACTACGTTACAGGTGGACAACCATTATCACTTAAGGATATGAAAAATAGTAGCCGATTCTCAGACCCACGAAATTCACACTATTTATCTTATATTTTTATATTTTATATTACCTATCTCCTTATCTTCACTAACCTCGCTAAGAAAACACAGTTTCAATGTATAAAGCTAAAATGATAAAGAATTTTAATCAAAGGAATTGTCATTGGATTGTTCGATTCAATTCATGTCTACAATCTCACGAATACCGCAGTATTTTCCCCTAGCAACGGACCATTTCTATCTGGAATCCGGTGTGCTATTTCGTTTTGCAGCAAAGCGAGGCGTTCCTGCATCGCGTTCAATTAATAATTCATACTGCAGCTGCAAAACATCGGCGGGCTTAGGCGATGCATCTCAACTATAAAATTATGATTGAAAACAAAATTTATATTTGATAGGAGAGAATCTTGACTACGTAGGAGTAAGTATGAATTTAAACTACTGTTTTCCCGTAACTGTTTGGAGAGGATGAGGTCCTGAGAATAAGAATTATAAATATTTTAGTAAACAAATGTATGTGTAAAATAGTATATAATAGAAAAAAAGTATTTATTAATTAAAATTTTACATTTTAAGGGATAAGCTGAAAATGATGATACTGGGAAACCTTTTGTTAAGACTCAAAGCATAGTTCCTAACTGTGTATGAATTTCATTTCATTCCATTCTTCGGCCATTGCGGTGGCATCATAACTAGGTACATATTAACTAAACAACGTAATTTTGTTTCTCTATTTAACCATTATGTTTATTTCGGTTTTCGCCATTTACTTTTTTGTGTTAAAACGGTGTGAAAACAAGCGTATGACCTGCCTGATGGTGAGTAAATAAGGAAGTACACAAAAATGACAATTCACCGTTTTATGTTGAATTCAAGAAAACACAACTCAAAGAGGTTATAAGGGGGCTTATAGACCGTTTGTACGCGAACCGATGTCGCCGGCTCGCCCCGACTACACTTCCAGCTATTAGATATTAGCCAATCAAACAACGCGACATCAAACCATCGACCCAATCAGCGAGACTCACACCCGAGAGCAACGGCGCAATCATACCTAAATTTTGTTCTAGTTATGAGCATTTGCTTACACATAACTGTGGCGCGCCTGCCCCACCCACAAGGCGTTTCTAAACTCTTCCTATGTTCTGTGCAAAAAACCGTCTACCAAATTGTTAAAAATAACTTATCTGTTTTTCCATTTTTGCACAAAAAAGTTCACTCACGCGTGTTTCAAGCCGATGGAATCGCTTGCGTACTGGTCCCAAGCGTTCCGAGATGTCGTGTCCATGAGATGAGTGTCGATTTGTGTCTACATTTTTCTGATTATATTCAATCTGAAGAGTATCGTATAAAGCGAAGTTTTTACACATACTTTCCACCTTAGGGGCCGTTCATAAAATACGTCACGCTAAAATCAGCTTTTCCGACCCCCTCCCCCCTATTGTCACGCTGTGTCACACTTTCTGTGACCCCCTTTGAAATATTCCGTCACAAAAACGGAGACCCCCTCCCCCCCCTATTGGTAAAACAAAGAAATCGATTGTCACGAATTGTAACGCTGCTAGAGTCAAGTCAATAGGCTAGAGCCGCGCCACAGAGCTAGCGCTAATGTCGAAAAATAAACATGAGTAAATATATCAAGTTACAATTTATTGTATAATAAAACTATATAGGTTTGAATGTCTATATGTTTACTAAATACGAAATAAATGATTTTCTATCTTGATGAAAATTGAGAAAGAAAAATAGTTGAAAGAAATACTAATTTAAAAAAAATTAATGAACGACGAACGTCACGTTGCCGTAGACCCCCCGTCCCCCCTTGTCACATCTTGTCACACTTAGCAAGACCCCCCCCCCCCCCCCCCCCCCCCTTGTATGCGAACGTATTTTATGAACGGCCCCTTAGCGAAGACATGCGAATTGCGAACAAGGAAAGGATGGTTGGTACGCCACGAACGCTATCTAATT